TCTGAGGAAAAAGTTGTTCCTCGTTGAAAAACGCGTCGATTGAGACCAATTTGAATGATTTTGGAGGTGGAGCAGCTATACTGAAGAAGAAAGAAGAAAAACCATATATTTATTATTTGTATCTTTCTCAGTCTGTATCTCCGAAACTATTCGAGTCCGACCCTTATATATATATATATGAAATGACTCGGGAAGACATCCCCAACAACATATTTAAAAATAAAGCAAATCGGAGAGGAGGCCCCTTTTATGCATAATTACCGAGAACGATATAATACAACGTTTCGTTTCAAGAGAGATATAACAGTGAAATATTTTAAGAGCGTTTAGTCTCATACGGTCGTTGAAAACATTTATATGTGATCATTTCTCGTCGCGCAAGAAATAATCAAGTTGTTTTATTATTTCAGAGAGCCTTAGGGAGTATTTCACCAAGTATGGAGACATCACAGAGGTCATGGTTATGAAAGATCCCACCACGCGACGATCAAGGTAAATAATGTATACTGTACGCACGTATTTTGTTACATTTAATATTTTTAATTGACTTTTTAACTTTTCATTATTCCTCTATATTTTTTTTTTATTGTTTGCTTGAGGACTGAAAGATAGATATGTTTCTCGCAAATATTGGGTTTATGTCTATTAGAAAATATGTCAGGTACGTCTCTTCATACGTGAATAATTTGGTATAAATTCAAATGTCTTCGTAAAAATTCATAACGTCACAGCCACGTGTCAGTCTTCCGGAAATTTTTGTTAGATTCTTTATTTTGGTCGTTAAGCGCAGAACACAAATATGATTGACGTGCCAAGGTTGGCTTCGCTAAAAATAAGTATACCGATCGGTAGCCCATAAATCTGACTTTCATACTTTTTATACCCGCTTCGTTCTTTCAATTTTACCCGCAAAAAGGAAATGAGAGTGAATTATAACAAATAATAATTATAACACAAAGTTGTAGCAAAATGAATAAAGATTTCTAAGCTACGATGTAATAATAACAGTCAAGATGATGTACCATGCAGATTATTTTTAATAATATAATAACCGTTGTAACATTTATTAAATGATAATAATAGAGTTATAATAACTCTCTGAAAAAGAATGTGTCGCTGAAGCGAAATTGCGACCTGTAAAAGGTTATATAAAATAGCTAACGCGTTGGAAGATGCTTACGGTAACGTTTTTGATACTCGTTGCAAAATTAATTCACTGCGCTGTTCACATCACGAGGACTAATGCGCAGTATAATGCAATGATATATAGCGTGCTGTGAAAATCGAGTTTCGGGTCGAGTGTCGCTGTTAAGCAGAAAACAGAGTAACACCGAAGCGGATGGTAAATGCCAGAGCGCACCAGCATCAGAGTAATTACCGGTTTTTAAGTGGAGGAAACGAGGGGCGAGTCCGACGACGAGGGTCGAAAGAAGAGGGACCGGTGGGAGGGTCGAAGGGGTGCGTCCAGCCGCTATATACGGTGTACCTTGGTGTCAAAGGGAAACGCGTGCATCTTATCGCCCATCGAATGTAAAGCCGATATTTTATTATTGTAAAATCAACCAAGACAACGGAGCGTGACTTGTCAATGCGTGGCTATGAGTATACGCAATTATCGGGCACGCAATGTAAACGTGTTTTAAACGCATATGTATATGTAAATGACGAAGCCCTGCCTTACGATTGTTCGGCGCGATTTTTTTTCAGTATCTCCTTTTCTCTTTATTGCTTCAACCTGGATTTCCATTTAGATACGAATGAATTGTAGGTTTAGAGAGATAAATACAACTGAAACACGTGAAGATTTGCTTGTGTACTTCAGAAGTACGAAGAATATGCGAGATAATATTTTAGAAATATAGCAGAAGTCTTAGATAGAATTAGACAGAAGGTCGTTACATAATTCTTACAAAAGCACATACTTCGTAATATATATAATTTGAGTAATAATCGCTAGAATGTAAATCTAAAAAATAACATGTAAAGATTATTTTCCTTTCAATTATATGTATTTTTATATCTAATTAAATTCTCTTCCAAAATACACTTTTCCATTCGCAACTTTGACTTGTGAATTTTTTATCTACGTAATCTTCCTTTTTGCACAACTTTTACTTTTGTCTCTTTTTTTTGTATATATAGTCCCCAACTATATATTTCATCTGTTAAAGCTTTTTTAATATTAAATTCTATGAATTTTATAGTGTATAGATCTCCTATTATGCATTCAAGTCCTTAATATCCGCCATTATCAACACTGAAGTCTTTACATTATAAAAGCGCGCCGTCAAAACGTTTGTGCAGCGATAATCGCAGTCGAATTGTCGCTGTTTAAATTGCCGTCTCTGGCGCTTATGCGCCGGTTACCTCTCGTGCCGTGCATTTCTCCGTCTAATTAATTGGCCAGAAACTTTCGGGCCGTGCCCGCCAACCTTCTCTAATTATTCGTTCCTTTCATTCCCGCGGGAGAAGCGGGCAGGGGTAGGAGGTCGGGACACGGAGGAGAGAAGGAACTGCTGGACAACAAAACGAAACAGGGGACAACTTACTTCCGTCGAGTTACAAAGCACAAGCAACAGCCGGGCCTATTCGCACCAGCTTATTAAGCGAAAATAAAGCCCGCAAAATCAAAGAGCATTTCCCACACCCTTTCGGCTCCTCGCATTTATTCGCGACTTTCTTTTCCCCTCCCTTCCCCTCTCAATCTTTACGAATCTGCTCCCCTCTAGTCCCTTCTTTCTTCCGTGTCCTGGATAGTTTCAAGTCCGCTGACAATTAAGAGTTTTGTTCTTCACTCCTTCGAGCGACGAGCTCGTTATGAACACGTCGAGCTGGATAAAGCTCGTTTCATCGCCGGAAAGGCCGAAGGTCGAGATTGCAGATATTCGGGGATTAGCAGAAGCGATCTTTTATAGTTCGAGATATATGAGGAATTTACACATACGATAATTAACGATAATTAACGAAAATAGCCGTTCTTGCGCTAACTAATAAATGTTGAATCATCAAATGTAGAGAATCTCGCTAATCTTCAAATAGATTAGCTGAAGAACATTAAGGACGCGAATAATATTTTACCGGCGAAAGCAGCCTACGTTGCAAAATTCGCGAGTTCCCCCACGAGTCATCGTTGCAGATTAATCGAAAGGTGCCGTCGATAGATTTAAATTTCTTCCGCCGTGATATAGCGGGGTATTTCTCGGGTAGGTGGAGATCGTTTAAGGGTCGGGGCGCAACGGAGACGACGAGCGGAGGAGACCGAATGGAGAGATAGAAGGGACCGTCCGGGAACTGGAGCGGTTGAATCCCTCAGCGCCACGTCGTAGCTCATATCTGCCGCAAGGGGACGCGGATCCTGTATGCAGGGGTTGAGGCATGGGGTTACTCTGCGGGTTGTAAATTAATGGTTAGCCCGTGGCATGGTGGGGTTCGGCCTAAGGGTTCTGGTTGATCTATGGGCGGCATGTGTGCCAGGTCAAACGGGCCTTGCCCACTGATACGGGAGCGAAATTCTCTCTCTCTCTCTCTCTCTCT